TAGCCACAGGATGAATGTTTAGAAAATGGCAAAGTGTCAGCTAAAATAACTGATTGAGACCCACCGGTGTCACGAAGAATGCGAACTGGACTCTGATCTCCAGGCTTTCCTGTAAGGGAAACTAGACCATCTAACAAAAAGGGGTCAAAACAAGGATCAGGTGTGCAGTCAACATCATTTTGTACATTGTTTGGCTTAGTCTTAACGAACCCCACACCCTTTGGCTGAGAGTTTACAGAGTTTTGTGTTTTACGTTTTAAGGCTAAACAGTTTGCAATAACATGACCCGTTTTATGACAATAGAAACACTCCTTGTCATTTTGTTGCACAATCTTGGATTTTTCAAACTTAACAGAGGAGTTTCTACTTGGAGCAGACTGAAAAACAGTTTTATGTGTAATGTAATTGTTTCACTTTTTAAATGGAATTACTGAAATAAATCTACTTTTTCATGATATTCTAATTTTATGACCAACACCTGTACATCTTAAACCTAAACCAGTTTTCTGCAGGGTAGTTGGTTATTCAGGAGAGACTGCTCCTGCACGTTGAGGATCAAAATGAAGTAAAGAAAACTGCTGGACGCCTCCCTAGGGAGGCATCTCTAGCAGTCAGGATAGCGTGATCTACACAGATAAATAGATAATAGTAGAGATGGAACTTCTTCCTGTTTGTATGGGGAAAAGATCTGAAGGTTCAAAGATGAACCAAACAGTGACACATAGTGGTCATCTGCAGTTGTAGCAGCCACAAACTCTAATTTGAATCGGTCTACTCATTTTTGGTGTCTTTGTGACTTATGAAGACTCAAACATTGTTCACATCTGTGGAAGTTTGTCTTGCTCCAGCAGAGTGAAACAGGCTTCAGAGCTTCAGTGTCCCAACACTAATTAAAGTTGTAAAGGTTCGGTGCAAACACTGTGTTGAGGATCAGTCTCAGCTGTTACTTTATTTGTAAAATTGACTGAATTCAAATTTTGTGTTTAGACTCGGTTGTGGCTGTCATGTTGAACTGGACAGACTAACAGTAAGTGAGTGGGTAGTAAATATACAACCACTGGTTCCTCTAAAAGGTTCATAAGATAATTTGCTTGTTCATGGGATCATTTACCAACATAACCGAGGACTAAATCGGTAAAAAAGAAAATCCACTCAAATTAGATTTATTAAAAGTGAAAGATCCACCGGAGTTTTCGGAAGAGGCTTCGGACGTCTATGTGGACGTTTCAAACTAACAAACATGTAACAACAAATCGAATCAGATCAAGAAGTTTTCTTCAGAACCAAGGAGGGTTAATGTCAGCAGACACTGGATTTATTTGGTTGTGAACAAAAAGGTTCATTGTAATGACATGATCTCCACTGTGTGTCCAGAGACCACAGAGTACTGACTGACGAGGGGGGGCTGGTGTTGCTTTCAGGGCCCATCAGTCCAGCGTTCAGATCCCAGAGCAGCAGCTGTGGTGAGTTCAGGGTTCTGGTTTATAAGATGAGGGTGAGTTGGACCCGGGGGAGGCTTGGTCTGAGACTGCAGACTCTGGCTGTGGTGAGGGACTGGCTGCTGCTGCTGCTGCTGCTTCTGCTTCTTTCTGAACCAGCTCCGGCTCATCCTGGCCTGCCTGAGGTGGGTGGACCAGAACCCGATCAATGATGCCAAAGTCCTGGGCCTCCATGGGGCTCATGTAGCGATCTCTTTCCATCACGCTCTCTGAAGTCAGAGGAAAAACAGGATGTTAGCACTGAAGACTCCAGCTGGTATTTACCACGTGGAAATAATGAAACCTACAAATAACCTTTATAGAAGAATAGAAATAGAATAGAAACAGCCTTTATTGTCCAACACGGGGAAATTCAGGTGTAGTAGCAGCAGCAGATACATACATCAATCCACACAAACAGTTTATTGCTGTGTGACATCAATTTATTCAACAAAAGAAAACTTTCTGTTAGGGAAGCAACACAAACTTTAGAAAAATTAACTTCAAATGTTGATCTAAAAGACTATTCGGAAACCTGTGTGTGAGAATAACCATTGTACATAATGTGAAACTGATGTAAAGCTTTATAAAACAGCATTAGCATGATTAGCATGAACTGCTAATGAAACTTTTGGTGGTTAAGTGTTATAAAGCAACAACTATCTGCTTTGGAAATTGAAATTGGTCACAAATAAATTAATTTTCTCTATATTTGAGAAGAGGGTCTCTACAGTCACTAATAAGGCTGTGTATTGGCAAGAATTTGGCGATACGATACATATCATAACAGAGGGGTCACGATATGATATATCCCGATATATTGTGATACTGTAAGCAAGGCAATATATTGCGATTTTTTTGTCCAAAAATTCTACTAAATAAAAACCGCTTACTGAAAAAAAAAAGCTAATGTTTACTTACAATGCTAATTCTACCCTTACTCTCTGGCGCTCAAGAGGTAGAGGAGCCAAATGGCTGGCTCACTGCTGCCAACTATTGGTCAGAGGCTGAACTACAACATAAAAATGAATGGTTGGCAAGAAGGCTGACATTTTAAACCTTAATAAAAAAATCGATACAGGGCTTTAGAATATCGATACAGTATCGGGAAATGAAATATCGTGATATTTCAATGTATCGATATTTTCTTACACCCCTAGTCACTAAGTAGTAATTTCTTGTTTTGTGGGAGGAGTTTGTCCAAGACCTGACTGGTCTGTTTGACTTTTGTGGGCGTAGTTTGTTAAAGACATGATTGGACTGTTTTTGGTGGGGTTTGAAGAAGCTGGGGGCAGCTGGGAGTAGCTTGGTCGAAACAGCCAGGAACCACCTATATATTTTTTTAAATATAAATATTTGTTTTAGTCATAACTCGAGATAAGCTGCACAAAATTTGAACACCGTACATGTGGAGGGACAAGTAACAATTCAGCTTGGTCAAAACAGCACTAACCAGCCTGTAAAAAAGATCATTCTATATGAATATGACTTAATACCCGTCATAACTTGAGACAAGAAGGTGCTTGCAGCAGGAAATCTGAAGTCAATAAATTATGTTTATATGTTCACAATAATTTTACTATTATCATTACTTCCTCTTTTAAATTGCCCCACAAGTCAATCCGACCAATCACATTTATGACAAACTCCACCTACACAACAAGAAACTCCCCCTATGTACTGCAGAGTCCCCCTACTTGCAAAACTCAGGTAGTTTAAGAATCTATCTACATCAGGTAAGATATTTATTACTCTTTCACTCATTTCTAAATGGTAAAACCTTTTTCTAAATCAAAGATTCTTAAAGCTGATATTCAAAATGTCCAAGTCTGAGAAGATCTACAGTCTCTTTTTATTGCATGATGCTGAAGCATCAACACTTGTCTGTGTCTGTCAGCAACATAACTTATGAACCATCTAAATAGATTTAATAAAACTTTTAGAAAGTAACCACTGAGCGTACATCCACAAATAAACCCAAATCACAATGGCTGCCACTAAAATATGACTAAAACTCAAATTAAATTCAAACAATTGAAAAAAATAGATCAATCAATTATCAGTTTAAAAGGCAACAACACATCAAAATGATTGTGTTAAGAGCTTCAATAAGCTGCTTAAACCAAAACACAAAGACTTTCACTCGTTGTAACTCAGAGCAGCTTTGTGTTTGTAATGTTTCAGGTTCTGTCTTTAAAATATACAACATATTTTAATATCTGTATTTAGAAAAGACGGTGTGCATATCTCTGTATATATTTAACATTATATTATTTGGGAGTTTATGAACATGTAGACAGAGGATAAAGAGCTGCAGGAACTCACCAATAGTTTCCAGTAACTGTCCCGTGTGTTTGGCGTAGATGTTGTTGAGCTGTCTCTTCAGCTTCAGGATTTCCTCAGCCTGGATGGCGATGTCGGTGGCCTGACCCTGGATGCATAAAGTCTGGGTTTTACACGTTGCTGTTCCGTTTTGGACTCTGGACTTGTGTTGAAGGACCTACTTACCTTGGCACCACCCGACACCTGGTGCACCATGATGCGGGCATTGGGCAGTGAATGCCTCATGCCTTTCGTACCTGCTGCCAGGAGCAGGCTGCCCATGCTGGCTGCCTGGCCCACACACCAGGTAGAGATGGGGTTAAGGATGTACTGCATCGTGTCGTAAATGGCTAGGCCTGCCGTCACCACGCCGCCTACACGAAGGAGAGGAGCGCGTTTCAGAAACACGGAGAACTGTTTTCAACCTAAACTTAAACGCACCACCTCTTAAGCAGAAAAACAATCGGAGACGGCATCTTTAATATGACTTCCATTTAATGGAGTCAAGTCTGCACATTTACAGATTTAAATTTGATTTATGAAAAAACATTTTCTACAGGACTGTAGTAGTTTCAAGTCAAGTTATCTTTAATATCCCCATGGCGCAATTTGTGTTACAGCCAGCAGGAAAAAAACAATAAATACAGTAAATACTGTCAGAACTATCATAGTATAGGCATATCTGCTACATACTGTATCTACCAACAAACACACACACAACACTCAAGAAGAAGTATTTATAAAGGACAATAACAGCAGGTAAGAATGAATTCTTAAATCTGTTGGTTCTGCATCTTTTTAAAGCAAATCTGCATCCTGATGGTGAAAGAGAAAACTCTGAATGGGGGGTGGTTAGGCTCAGCTAAAACTGCCTGAGTTTTCTTAGGTGATCTATTTCTGTGGAGAGTGGAGATGTTATTTAGTGAAACATTGGCAACTTTGCTGCAAAGGCTTACAATGTGGTGTATGAATTTTTTTGTTTTTATGTGTCAAACCAGCAAATAAAAGAAAAAGTAAGAACAGATTCAATGAAACATTCTCATAAAACTGTCCATGTTAAAATTCCTTAATTCACGATTAAAGTGCGTCCGTTGGTGGGCTATCTTGCATACATTTTCCACGTGTTTACCAAAAGAGAGTCTGTTTTCAATTACAGTACCCATAAATTTATATTCTTCCACATCAACTACCTGATCATTAATGTAGAAAATGCTAATTCTCTTGTAATTCCTGGGAACCTGTGGTTCTCCCGTTTGTAACGTGTTTTCAAACGTTCTCCGTCTGCAGCTAACTGCAAAAGAAACTTCACTGCTGAAGGTTTAAAGGGTTCAGGGAGTGAGAGTCTTACCTGGACTGTTGATGTACATGTGGATGGGCTTGTTGTTGCTTTCTGACTGCAGGAAGAGCAGCTGTGCGATAACCAGACTGGCTATAGAATCATCAATCTGACCAGAAAAGACAGGAACTTATTGAGAAAATGTGTGTGTGTTTTTTAAGCAACAGCCTTTATCCATGGAGACACATACAGGACCCATGACACAGATGATCCTCTCTCTCAGCAGACGAGAGTAGATGTCATACGCTCGTTCTCCTCTCCCCTAGACAAAAAGCAAATGTTATCTTTTATTTTTAGTTTAGTCGTGTGTTGTGATCAAGACTCAGCTATGACCACACTAAACTTCAGCACACTGTCTGTAAATATGACTGAATTATATCCGTTTGTATTTTCTAAGATCAGCTGGCCGTGGCAGCCATCTTGAATTCTATTTTAAAGGAGAGTGATTTTTTTCTCCAGGTCCTGTTTCTCACCGTTTGCTCCACAACGATCGGTATCAAAGGACTCCTCCATACAGGACTGTGGTGGAAGGACCTGAACCTGACCATGTTCAACACATTCTAACACACACACACATACACACACACACACACACACACATACACACACACACACACACACACACACACACACACAAAAAAAAAAATCATGTATGGTTTTAAACAATCGGTGCTCATTTTACCAACAAACCAAATTCCAAAAAAGCTGGTGCATTTAGTAAAATGTTAATAAAACTAAATAAAATTATTTGCAAATCTTTTAAACATATTTACTCACAGTGGTATATCAAGTGTTTAGATAGATAGATAGATAGATAGATAGATAGATAGATAGATAGATAGATAGATAGATAGATAGATAGATAGATAGATAGACAAATTTTGGAAAATAATAATTTGGTGGCAGGAACACAAAAAGCAACCACTTCATTTTACAAAAGGCTGTAAAAGTAAGCAGTACAAATAATAATAA